ATCTTCCATGTACTATTATTATTATAATTAATATTATTATTGCCATCATTTTTTGGGGGTCTTTTTTTTTTCACGAGACTGTATCTTTTATGAGTCTTGATAGTGATAAAAGAAACTTTTTAATTTGTTACCTAAATTGGGGAAGATGTACAGCAATCACTTACTGAGCTGGAATCTTGAAGAGGTTTCCATGATTGACAGTTTTTCCACTTTCTTGGCACACATTTTTCATTAACAACCCAAAGCTAGTAATATTGCCAAAAAAACTGACATTTTGTTTGGAACCTACCTGAGAAGATCTGGCGGTCCTCCCCGAGTCATCCCCCCTCTGCGCTTCCACAACCTGAACGTTTCCGTACGTTTTCTCGGAGCGTCGCCGAGCCGTTTTTCTGTGCAGTGTGCACTCGAAATCCTCCTCCTCTTTTTTTAATCCTGAAAGTGAACTCGCTGTGAAACTCTTTCACTGCTTATGCTGTAGTCTGGGTGGTCAGTGCCTGTTTCTCTTTTTCTTTTCTCCTCTCTTACTCCCAGTTCATGCATGTTGATAGTTTCATAGGTTTGTCTTTTTTTAATCATTACGGTAAAACAAAAAAAACATAAAATAAAGAGACCCAGAAGCTCGCTGGCTGTCTTATAAGCAGTGACGACGGATGGACCAATATAAACATTTAATGCAAATGTGAATGATCACAATTAATCTTTTCTTAGTTCTCCCTGCGCTGGATGTCGAGTGTCGATGGTGTATAATATGGTGCTGGAATCTTTTCTCTCTTTTTTCAAAGGGGCAATAAATTGCCAGTTTTTTTTGATTTCTTTGAGAAGTGTGATGCTTTTAAAGTTTGTTGACTGTATTCCTCGTTATGAAAGATTTGATCTGAACGGAGGAAAAAACTTCGTCTACTCTGTACAGAATGCTTTTTATTTAAACCCAAGATTGCTGTTTATCAGTTTGTGCTTCTGCTAACGTGTGGCAAATAAAATACCGTAAATTCTCTCATAGTGGGCAGCGCCTTCAATCAGGTTCCGTACAGAGAACCAGACTATATCCAGCTCCTCTTATTGTGAAAGTCCTGCTGCTTCTTTTTACTGTAAATGTAAAACTTCCTTCATCAGTTCAGTTCACACCGTTTATGCCTATATGTTACTGTTGTGTATAATAGGGCTTCCAAAAAAACCATTATTTTTTACAATTATCGATTAATCTCTCAATCCTTGATCAGTTGTTTTAGCCATAAATATCTTGATTTTGTCCACAAACCAAAAATATTCAGATAACCACTGAAAATATTCACATTTAAGGAAGCTGAAATCAAAGAATTTGGATGTTTTTTTTTCTGTAGAAATTCCTCAAAACGATTAGAAAATGATCTAAAAAGTGTAAGATGAATTTAACAGTTGGCAGCTAATAGTTGTAATGTTAGCAGTTACAGGAGAAAAAGTCGAATTATTCTTCCAGGAAATAATGTAAATACATCCGCCAACGGACATCGAAAGAATAAATCACCAAACGACAGGCAATCTGAATAAAGTACGTAATATTTACTAATCTTTATTTACTGTTTGCAGTTAGTTCACGAGGAATCGACGCGCTATAAGATGTTAAACTAGGACTTCATTATGCAACTGCCACTTAACCTCCACTGAGTTCAGACCGCAACTAATGAGTATTTTCATTCATAAAATGACAGGAAATAGTAGTATGTAATAATAATAGTCTGTTCGACACCCAGATCCTCACATTTGAGAAGCTGGAAGCATTTATTCGCTTGTTAAATGATGTTTTCATTCATCCCTTATCAAAATGTTCTCTAATCAAACTTAATAATCAATGAATGACGGTTTGAGTCTACCTTTTACCCTGGAAGGCTCTTATTTTGAAGCTTGTACAGGAAGTGTTGACTTTAATAAACGGCAGGCTGAAGCAGAGGCCGGGGTTACAGCCCGTTGGTTCCTCCTGTAAATCTCTAAAAGAAGCTCACAAACATATTTGTTTCTTGAGGGATGTCTTACTACGTTCTTTTCTTACATGTTTTGGATGGAGATTAAACTAAAAAATAAACGTAAAGAAATAAGGAGCCGTAGAAACACCACACCTTTTACTCCTCATTGCAGTTTAAAAATCCGAGGATATCATAACTTGGAATTGACATCTTAATTAAGTTTTCCACTATTGATTAGTAGAATAATGGTATTATGTATATAATTCTGGTCACACTTGATATTTTATTCTTTACTGTCTGATGGACGAATATTTAATTTAATCTCGGAGAAAGCGGCGTGTCGTTTCCGGGCCTGTTTCTGTTTGGTGGGAGAACGGTGCATTTTTTATTCTGCCTGTGTTGTGTCAGCACGAGTGTGAGGGAATGTTGTGGTTATGCTCGGATAGTGTGCAGTTCGACGAGAGAACAACCAGTATGACACAACTCACGCCGCGTTATGATGATATGAGAAGTTTATTCATTGTATAAAACTATGAACTAACAGTTCATTTCCAGATCGCTGCGTTTAGTATCAGGAAATACTAAAGTTTTTTTTTGTCTTTATTTTTTGTTGGTTTTAGTTTGTTTGTTTTTTTTTTTTTTTTTTTGTTTTTTGTGTTTTTTGTTTTTTCTTACTGTTTTTTTTTGTGGTTTACCTAAATGTGAATCATATTCATTAGGCTTGGATAGTGTTCTCTTATCTATGTAGCGCTGCGGCTCTTGGTTTTGTCAGTAGTCAGTAGATGGTCTAGTTGGTGTCATAGGTCACAGCAATATGGTTGAGATTATGATGTAATTGGATCTTCTCCTATTATTGTTGCGATGTTCCCCCCTACTATTAAAATGACGAATATGTCTGGGTGTCGAGAATGTTACACCAATGTAGCAGCGATTATTAACATTATTGGTAGAGCGAGGCAGTATTACTGTTTTTTGTTTGGACAGATGAAGCCTTTTGGTAAATTTGCTATTGTATAAGTGGCAATGTATTGTATGTTTAAGCTATAAGGGATAAACACCACGATACGTATTGTTTTTTGATCTTAGTACGCATGTGCTTTACGGTGTGTGAAATCTACTGAACAAGTTGTTATAAAGAATAGTCCATATATTAATAGTGCCGAGAGGGAGACGTAAACGTGTCAGCTGATATCTGTACATGATATTATGTAGTCATCTTTGTTTTAGCTTGCCTCTGTGTAGGATATCGGATTTAATATGTTGGCCATTGTTAACATGGCGAATATATACAAGAAAACTCAGAGACGAGTGGGTGATTAAGTCTGGAACAGACTATTGTTACTGTAAATCCCTAAAAGTGGCATTGTACTCTATATTGACGATGTTATTGATGTGTTGTGTGTTTGTGTTATTTGGACAGTAAGTTTGTGTCCCATCTGGTCTTAAAACAGCTCAATTTACGGCATGGTTGAAGCAGTATTGCCTGATTGGGTCTCTCTCCTTCTTCGTCATTGGCTGTTGTAGTATAGACATTTTAAACTGCATCTTATCTACGGTTCTTGATTTCTGCTCCGAAACACTCACTAGTATAGTCTACCTTACATAATGATTCTATTCGCTACTGAAATAGTCCACTGTCTACAAGGAAATTGACTGAATACGATATTATCTAGATATTATTTATGTTTTTGTGAATGGCTCTTTTAGAGATTTTACAGTGATGAACAACGGGCTGTAACCGCCGCCCTCCTGCTTCAGCCTGCCGTTTTTATTAAAGTCATAATCATTCCTGTATCAATCTTCAAAATAAGAGCCTTCCAGGGTAAATGATGGTTAGACTCAAATCCGTCACTTCATTTTGATTTATTAAGTTTGATTAGTAGAACATTTTGATAAGGATGAATGAAAACCATCATTTAACAAGCGAATTAAATCTTCCAGACTTTCTCCAAGATTTTTTTTTGTTGTGAGCGATCTGGGGTGTCGACATGACTATTATTATTACATACTACTATTTCCTGTCATTTTATGAATGAAATAATACTCATTATGTGCGGTTCTGAAACTCAGTGGGAGTTAAGTGGCAGTTGCATAATTGAAGTCCTAGTTTAACACTTATAAGCGCCGTCGATTCCTCGTGAACTAACTGCAAACATAAATAAAGATTTAGTAAAATATTGACGTACTTTATTCAGATTGCCCTGTCGTTTGGTGATTTATTCTTTCGATGTTCCGTTTGCGGATGTATTTTACATTATTTCACTGGAAGAAGTAATTCGACTTTTTCTCTGATAACTGCTAACATTACAGACTATGTAGCTGCCAACTGTTAAATTCATCTTACACTTTTTAGATCATTTCAACGTTTTGAAGGGATTATCTACAGGAAAAAAAACATCCAAATTCTTTGGATTTCAGCTTCTTAAAATGTGAATATTTTCAGGTTATCTGAATATTTTTGGGTGTGTTTGGAGCAGCAGGACGGTGTGATGAGTGTTTTAATGGTTTTTAAACAGCAATGACGAAGAGGAGAAGAGACATCAGGCAATATGTTCATAGCTGGTTATTGAGTGTTTTAAGACCGATGGAACATTACTGTTACACAAACACACAACACCATCATCATCGTTTGAGTCTGTCCACTTTTAGAGGATTTACGGTAACTGTTGTTCCAGACTTTCACCCACTCGTCTCTGAGTCTTTCTTTGGAAACTCATTTAAGTGTATCACTTTAAGATGTAACATGTTATTGTACAGTTCAGCTGCAGTTTGACGTCTCTCCTCGGATCTATTTTAATATTGGATTTCTTTTAAAATGTTCTCGTGTTTCCACACCTCCGCAGGCTTTAAGGTCAAACATGCCGTCTGTTTCTTTTTTTTTTAATCATCATTGCACTACATGTAAATAAAAGGTCATCCTGTCAATATCTCCTCCCTCATATTATATGCACATTGTAAATCCACAGATATTTAGTTTTCCTGTACTCGCAGCGATCTGGATGACTGTTGGTTCTAGTTTTGTACAATGTACAACCGTTCTCATATCGTTACCGCGGCGCTCCGAGCTTTGTGTCATCTTCGGCGTGTGTTTCTGTGAACTGCACCTTCCGAGCATCCCAGCATCCCTCACACCTCGTGCTGCCAACCAGGCAGTAAATGCACGTTCTCCCAAACGCACGGCCCGAAGGCGACACGCCGCTTTCCTCCGACTGTTTTTATATTCGTCCATCCAGCCGTAAAAGATTTCAGTGTGAACAGTTTTATTATTTTTCTCCTTCTGTGGAAACTTTTTGATGTCATTCCAGTTTGTATCTCTGGTTTTTAACTGCATGAGTAAAAGGTGTGTGTTTCTACGGCTCCTTTTTCTTTCCGTTTTTTTTAGTTTTTCTCTCCTCGTGTAAGAAAAGACATAGTTGCACTCCCTCAGAGAACTGCAATATGACAATGATGTTTTTTTTACTTTCTGGAACTTCAGTCGAGCTAAATCAAACGTTTCTGAAGCTGTTTTCAGCTGGAAAAAGTGAGTGAATCGATCAGATTGTCGCCCATGAGCAGACTTTTCACTGTTGTTGTTCCACAGTGTTGTAGTCATCATGCTGTGTGAGTACTCGATCGAGTATTTATGAACTGGAATAAAACGAGTGTAAAGCTTCCTGCTCTCACCTCCTGTAGGTCATCTTCTGTTCTGTCCATATGTAAACTATTAATTGTGGCTTAACATTTTTCTATGCTCCTGACTTTTTTCTTTTTTTTGATGCTTTAGCTAGCAATATGTATATAAATATATTCTATGTGCTAACATGGAGGAAATAAATGTATCAACAAGTTTCTGTGTTTCCATTTTCTGTTATTTTATAAACTCTCTATAAATATGAAATATACTTCTGATGGTTTTGTCCGTATACTGCCATCAATAATCAACTGTACAGGACAGTGAAATGTCTTTTTAAAGGCTTAGTTAACCCAAATGACATCATGTTTTCTCATTTAGCTCTCCTTATTTTTACATCTGCAGATAGTTTCTGTTTGGATATTGGTGAGGAATGAATGTTTGTGGCGCTCAAAGCATTAAAATATATATTTAAAAGATTAAACAACATTTCTTTCCAGAAGCAATACTCCAGTTACTCTGGATGATGATTGAATGAAACTACTGTCTCAAAGATGTACAGTACTCTTAAAATGTTTGACAGCTGTAACCAGGAGACAGTTTCTGGAGAGACTCACAACAGAAACTATCTGCACGACGAGGTACGGCTGCAGGTAAGACGGAACTTCTTTCTCTTGTATTATCTGCATAAACGACAAAGAAACTTATTGTTTTAGCCATGTTTCAGTGTTAAACCAGAATAAACAGAACACCTTTATTATACCAGAGAGCGAGACACAAACTTCATCCGCCGCTGAAAACAGATGCACTGTGACGTCTTCAGTAGGAATCAGTGGACGAACACACTTTTGGTCTTTTCATGGGATTTGTTGACGATGAGATTCAGTATTAACGCCGCCTTTTCCTCTTTAGATAGTCTTTGAATATGAAATAAAAGTTATATTTAGTTTGATCATTTAAAAAGGGCTCTAATTAAATGTGTGATTCGTGTCTATAAAGATAAAACTAAACTCAGTGACAGTTGAATAATGCGCCCGAGAGATATGGAGGCGTTTGGTCGCAGCAATCACAATAAAGTAAAGATTATCATACGAGGGATGCACAATAATTGTCAGACAATTCATCGTCCAATAATGGGAAATTTATACTATAAATTATCGGGGGACATTAATAATCATTTATTTGGAATT